AAGGCTTTTTTGAAGTCAAGATATATGACATCAATCTCTTCCCCCTTGTCCAGGTGATAGGTCACCTGGTCATAAAAGGAAATGAGATTGATCAAGCAAAACCTACCTACAACAAACCCATGCTGGGTATCCCTCAGGATATTGCTGTCAGCTAACCTGTATAGGATGGCCTCTTTGATAATCTTTTCCAAGACCTTTCCCGGGATAGAGGTCAGGCTGATAGGTCTGTAGTTTGCCGGATCCACTTTCCTCCCTTTTTTAAAGATAGGCACCATATTGGCTTTCTTCTAATTGTCGGGCACTTCACCAGAGCACCAGGAGTTCTCAAAGATCTGTGCCAGGGCCTTAGCTATGATGCCTGGCAGCTCTTTGAGTACCTTTGGGTGTTTTCATAATCAGAAACCAATGCGAGGTAGTTCTAAGACATATATTTTGAACACGAAATTTTAAAGTTATTAAACTAAATCCATCTACTCAAAACTGTAAGTAAATAGGCTTTTAGACAGACTTGGTTACACTACTGGCACTGTTTGTGCTCACAAAACAAATGACAAGCATCGACACTGGAGAGGCAAGTGTCAGAATTAAGTCCTTTATATGCCTGTGATTAATGGTATTCTGACTTTTTTCTTACAATAACTTTTTAAAATAGTTGCTGAAATAGTTTGAGACCCAATTTTGCATCTTTGAAGTGAACAGAAAAACTAACTGTAATTGTTACTCAACTCTAATGGTTCAAGATCAGACACATGAAGAGAAGTTTGCAAGAGAGAGAATCTTCCAGTTGAAAATGATCAATTATAGAAATAGGAACACAAAACTAACATCTGATTCAGTTCTGCTTACTTTTCAAAAAAGAGCTGAGAACTTAGTGTAAATTGTGTGTGGAGTTTATTTATACTAAAGTTCCCAGAAAATCTCTCTTATATAGCTACCTCTGCATTGGTATTAAATAAATGACAGTGGGTGCATCTACATGAGACATTTACTGCAGAGCTGCCTAATTAGCTACACAGTAAAGTCTCAACATCTACACATGTGGCTCTATTAGGCCATAAGAAACTAGCTTTGCCACAGGTTAGTACTTGTAAATACAAATACTATCTTGCAGCAGCATTTAATGAGCAGCAACGCATGTGTAAACACTGTTGGGGCTGGCTGGGGCATGGGGGTGCTTTGGTGTGGGTCTTCCTGTCAGCTAGCCCTGCACTGAAGCACCCTTGTGCCCCAGCCAGCCCCTCTGCATCATGTTGAGCCAGGTCAGAACAGCCCGTGGCTGGCAGGCTGACACCCCCCCCACTCTCTCAGGTCCTCCTGCCAGCCAAGATTGCTCCAACTCAGCTCAATGTACTGCAGTCCTGGGTGCACATGAAGCTGCAGTGCCCAGAAACAATAAACTCCAGCACAATATGTGCCAGAGTTCATTGCTCTGTGCTAATAGCACATGTAGATGCACCTAATAATGCTTAGTTTGATCTTATTTAATATATCTGAAAATTATTCACTAAACACCAGAAGAGAATTGGAAGTTCTGTGATAAAGGATTGATTTGCTAAACTTTTTCTGTTTTTTTTGTTTGTTTGTTTGTTTTGCTGCTTACATTATCCTACCTTTTTTATAAAGCTTCACACCAATTAAGCAGCCTCAGGTTGCATTAAAACAAAAATCAACCAAAAGCCATACCAAAACAAAATTCTTTCTTATGGAGGAGGATGAGAGAACAAACCACATGTGACAGATGCTAGTCAAATTGTTTTGATCTCTGCTAATAAGCTGTCAGTTATTAGCAGGGATCCAGGTTTTTTGTTTTCTTCCCTTAATCAGAGGAAACCACAAATTTCTCATTTTAGTGGAGAAACCCACAGATTTTGCAGTTTTGCAAAGAGTTTTCTGCAGCCTACAGGGGGCTGGGAGGAACCTAACTATGGTTACCAACCTAACTGTACCTCGCACTCTTTCTGGTCTTCTCAAGTGCACAAGGCTCAAGTAGTCAGGAAGGAAGAAGTTTTCCCACCCTCAACCTTAGTCTGGGGCTAAAGTACCACATGACTACCCAGAACCTGAAAAGTTGATCTACAACAAGGCTGTCTAACTGGCAGCACATGAGGGGTCAAGTTGCAGTTCCTGGGCTCCTGCCTGGCCACCACTTCACCCATTGATGCTGTTGCGACAGCAGCCAGAGAGTGTCCGGGATCCTCTTCCCTCCTCTGGACACAGCAGGCAGGCCAGCGCAGTGTGTCACAGCCAGGGGAGCTAAAGAAGTGAGTCTGGGGCCACATGGTACAGCGGTGGGAGGGTACCCTCACAGTGCAGCAGCGGGGGGCATCCACACAGCATGTGGCCCTGGGGGGTCTGCGGCTTGCTCTAATGCAGTCTGTTGGTGTGTAGCCCTGTTGGTGTGGTCAGTAGGGCATTTGACCCCCAGCTGCTTAGAAATTGGACAGTCATATATCAAATATTAAAGACACAGCTGCTTCAATAAATGCCTGGGCCTGCTTTATGCCAAAGTAAATTAATCAAGCTACACTTTTCATTTTGAAATAACTTCTTTACAGTTCATGTGACCAGACTCTGGAATAGACTCCTAGTGGGGGTGGAGCAGGCACCTACCCTGGAGATTTTCAAAGACTTGATGCATACCTTGCTGAGATTATTTGACCCCAGCAGTCTTTCCTGCCCAGAGCAGGGGGGCTGGACTCAGTAATCTCACCAGGTCCCTTCCAGCCCTAAACTTCTGTGAATTTGTGAATTAGCGTTTGTCCAACTTCCGTTTTCCTTTTCACTGATTTAAGCTTCTTACCTCTGCTGCAAAATGCTTCCCATGGATTGTGTGCTCTGAGCCTTCTGGCTTCTTTCTGTTTCCCCAGTGTAAGTGAAGCTGAGTTGCAGTGTACTGGAAAGGGAGGTTTCTGATGTACATGGTAGGAGGCAGACCCACTCTCACTGCAATTAGACCAAAATATGGGAGAAGATGATAACACAATGTAGAAGTGTAGGACACACAGAACTACCATGTCTGACACTGTTGGATGCAAAGTATTACAATAGGAGACTGAACCACTGAGGTGCTCAACACAGAATCCTACACATTTCATGTTTTAGTAACTTAAAGATTATTGTTTTAGCAGTGTTGGGCCTTTTTAGGTAGTTCAAAGAAGTTTAGAACATTTTATCTTCAGTTCTCTTGGAACTCCATGGAATTTGAATTGAATATAAGAATTGTGATTTCTCTATGGCTGCTGGAATTCCTTCTCTTCCCTGGAGACTGCAAAACCACCCCAGTCTTAGTAAAGGGGATCTGTGAAGCAAAAAAAGATTGTGTGCTTTTCAACTCTTGATTTTTTTTTTCCCCCTATATTTGAGACAATTCATTTTTTTCAAAATTTTTCTTGAAGAAAATATCCCTGGAATCCCAACAAAGAACCATGTGTCCGCTCCCCCTGGGTGAGGGGGAGAGAGAGACCAGAAATCAGGCCCTAGGAGGTATGTCCTTACCTGTACAGCGGGCTCAGGATTGGGCTCATGTCCTTACCTGTACAGTGGGCTCACACCAGGTTTACCCCACTGAAAGAGTGAGAAAAGAGGTTCACCTGTCAAGCTTTTTTCAACAAAGCAGGATGGGAAAGAGCAGAGACTGAAGCCCCTTTATAATGTTTTGTAATGGTTTTGCAGTAGTAAGGAAAACTGCTGAAGAACTGTTGCTGTTCCAGGAGCTAGCTTATGGGTACTCTGGATTGCGTTGATGTAATAGATACTTAGATTTCTTGTGATTTCTGGTTCTCTGATGGAGTGTAATAAGTATGTGTGTAAGCTGGTCCTGATGATTTTTACACACACACACACACACACACACACACACACACACACACACACCTCTCTCTGTCTTAACACCAGTAGTAGAGCCATATGGTAAACCTCACTGTTGTTGATTGGTTTTAAATGTATTTGAGCCACTTCTATTATCCTTCCAGGTCCTTAGGCTAGAATTTCAGAAGTTGCTCCATGCAGATTTTAGTGATTTTATAAACAAAGCCACAAGGTCTGTTCCTGTTTCTCAATACTTGAACCAGATTATCTAGAAAAACTTTTCAGAAGTTTATAGATCAATTCTATGAGTTGCTAAACATTAATTTAAGGACCCAGGAGAATTAATTTTAAGTTTCATGATTATGATAAAGTTGTATAATTTACCAAGTGTTTTAGGTGGCTTTCTTTTAATTGTTTGTATTCAGTTTCAAAGGTTTGGTACATTATAGCTGACTTTCACTTCATGCAATAATTTAAGTAATTAACACACAAAATACAGGTTTATGAAATCCAGTAACTCTTTCAAATTCTTACCTGCGTATTTGGTTTTCTTACCTGAATGACCATTATTGGTTAATGCAAGTTGGTCAGTGGTGGACATGTTATAACCTACGAGCTCTAAAGGCAAGAGAGTAGAGTCATATTGAAGAATATTATTATGAAGATCTATTGGAGACTGGAATCCTCCTCCACAAAATGGATACTTTTGGGGCCAGGTTGTTTCTCCATCAGGACCTGAGAAAGTTAACAGAGATCACATGGTTATTGGTGCCCATGTTGATGCCTTCCCCACATAATAATAGCTTGGTGTGGATCATCTGGTTTGGATAATGTAAGAGCTCATGTTTCCCCAGAACCTTTATTCCAAACTTGGGCAGGATCCAACTGTCCTTTTCTGGATTTAAAAACATGGTTTGCTACACTAACCAATTTTCAGTTTCACATGTTCAGTTTTTTACTAAGTCCAAATTTCTGTAACCCAATCTATTCATGTAAGTGGTTTGTTTCTCAAGGCAGACACACCACAAGTCACATGTAAGAGGCTGCTTAAGGGAGACTTACAGGCAGACCCATACAGCTTTTAGTTCTGGCTAAGAATTCATGTTTTTGATTGCCATTCAAAACAAATTAAATTATCAAACACTTGAGTTTTACTTACCATTAATAAGAGCTTGTGGTACAAAAATGCCTGTTACATTCACTTCTACTTAGTGATCACTGATAAGGGGATATAAATCTGTATGTGACCTTGCATTTAGTCACCCTGACCCTCGAACAGGCAAAACCTTCAAAGAATTTAGATTACGTGTGTGTGTACACACGCACGCACGCATCTTAAATATACATTCTAACTTGCATATAAATGACCTAGCAATATTTTAACTAGGAGCTAAATAGTTCTTTTGTTACAAGTCAAATTAAAGCGTTTCATAGATTTTGTTGGAACTTAGATCCAGAGTATGCCATTGGTAGTTCATTACATTACTGAGTTATGGAAAGTGGCCAAGTAAGACAATGTGATGTAGGCAGGATTTAAAATGGTTTCTTAGGCAGCAACTCCTAGGTATTGCAGCACCTAAGTATTAGGTTATTTACCCTGGAGGATGATGCAGCTTGACCAGTTTGGATGCCTAAGACCTCTATAAAGTCAATGGAGAGATGCAGCTAAGAGCAATTTAGGGTTAGGCACCTAGGTGTTCTACAGTAGTGGTCCTCAAACAGGGTGCCACAGTACCCTGGGGTGTCATGGGATCCTTTTAAGGGTGTTGTACAATATTAGCTCATCTACAATCCTTTACTTGACCTGTGGGAGCAATCATCCTTCAGTGTGAGGGATCGTCAACAACAACAATGGCAATATTAGCACTGTTGGTGTGTGAACACCTATATGTGATTCACAAGATAAATCTAGAAATTTCAAATAGAAATCCATAGTGTCAAAAACATTTTGACCTGTTCTGGTCTTTCTTAGTTCTTTGCAACAGAAGAATTGCTCTATTATTTTTTCCATATTAAAAAATGAATAAAACCTAAGAGCTAGTTTTCCAAGGGGTGCCTTGAGCCTAATTATGTGTGCCTCGAATCTTAAAAGGTTGAGAACCACTGCTCTACACAGGGTGCATCTACACATTGTCCTATGGCAACATTGTTACTGTACCTTGCTTTAGTACTTCTTTTTCAAAGTACTAAAGCACGGTGCAGTAACTGCCTGTACTGCACCATATGCATGGTGCACAGATATTTTTAGTAGCTACTTTGCCGTAGCAGTGCACTATACTCAGGGAGTGCACTGCTATGGTGAAGTAGCTGCTAGTCGCATGTAGACACCCATGGGCGCTACATCTCTATAGCTCATCACTATGGCGATGTAGCATCACGTGTAGATGCACCCAACAAGAACAAACACTAATACCTCTAAAGGACTACAGGAAACCCTCGCTATTCTCGAATCCCCTATTTGTGGAGTTGAATATTCATAGTGCACCATGCCAACGGGGTGGATCGGGGCAAGTGCCGCCACAGCTCCCTCTGGCGCTGCACCAAGCTCCTGCCGCTGCACAGGGCGGGGGAGCGCAGAGCCAGGTGGGCAGAGGGGGAGGGCAGAGCTGGGTGGGCGGGCGGAGAGCAAGCACTGGGGATGGGGAGGGAGGCGGCGGCATCTTTTCTCCCGTAGGCAGCTGCGGTTGGTCCCCGAGTGCTGTGGGGAAGCCCTGCGCTTCCAGCTTCTCGGGGGGGCGGCTGCAGGGTCTGATGGGGAGCCCTGTCAGTATTTGTGGATTTTGCCATTGATAGGTATCTCCAGAATGGATCCCCCATGAATGGCAATTTCTCCTGTATTCAGAAATCCTGGAGGTTTCTAGAGGTAATCAATAGGAAATGCTAAGCAAAGTGGTGCATCTGGGATTTATAAAGCATAATCTACTGTTTGAAGAGAAATCTTGTGTTTTTACGAAGTCAGTACCTCTGCTCTAGGCACAATAGAAATAGT